TTAAGATTAAAATTTTTCAATTGTCAAAAAAATACATTCACAAATTACAAAATATTATATTACGTTCAAATCCTTGACATCCCATCATCTCTCTCATTTCTCATTTCTCTTCTTCAAGAGTGAAGAACCACAAATCACTCCATCACAATGCTAAAACCAATTAGATCTGTTGTAGACATCTGAAATAACGTGTACGAACTTATCATTATGTCGTACAGGTCGGAGATATCTTAACTTTCCAATGGAAAATCGCGTCGAGTTTCGAGATCCGGAAGCTAAAGAGCAGGAGGAGCCCGTTTCAATTCCTGGTTTACAGGAAACAGGAAAATCCCTAATTATTTATACGGTGTAGATCCGTGGTGGCATCCGGGGAAATATGGTGTCGGTATTGTTAAAATTCAGAGGAACAGAAATTACAACGAGTTGTACGAGGTTGTACGAGCCTTGTACTCCTTGTGCAGAGAGAATTAACGCGTTTGTACACACGACGAACGGCGTAAACACACGCACACGAAACACGTTGAACCGTGCCAAATAATATTATCGAGGCGATCGGCCGTTTTCGATCAATTTCAATCGTAGAGGGTTGTTGAACGTTTGGCCAAAGACGCTTTCAAAGCGGAAAACCGGAACTCGATTCCTGTGGCGATGTACCGTGGTTATTTCGTTCCATGCTCTTCCTCCTCTAGTAGTTGTTCTTTGAGACTTTCGAGTAGATGGAATGATTTTTTTATTATGATTTCTTCTTCTTATGTATATATAGGGTGTATAAAAATTACGTGTCACGACTACAATATTTTTCTAGTCAAATTTTATTATATTATTATAAGAAAATTTGAGAATTATTATTGGAAATTTTAAAATCATTTTATGAAAGAATGATTGGGCTGTGACTTGTGGATTCCTTCGAAATTTTTGTTTCTTTTAATAAAATGTTATATGATGCAGTAAAAAAAAATTTCTTGAAAAAAAATAAATGGTCAAATTGGGATTTATTTTTTTTTCTTTTCACGAACCTCCATCGATCTATGATAGTCATAATATGTAATTTTTTTACAGTAATATTATTAATTGATAATATTGACAATTATGATTTGTAGAAAGTTAGAAACATTTTTTATTATTTTATAATAAATAAAATAATTTTTTATTTGTAAAAATGTATTTATAATCGAATTCATTATGTTTCATATATGTTTTAATGTGGATTAATTTTAAAATCCTTTTACATAATTATAGTAATAAGATGGAAGACTAAGACAAAAATTTATGAGTCTCGTATTTAAATTCTTAAATAAATTTTCATTTTCTACCCAATTAAAAATAAATTAAAGAGTGTTCGTGTGTGTGTATATGTTATTCGATCGAAAGTTGAGTTCTCGACCAAGGATAAGAGGTGCATTCGTTGAGATCAAAGACGAAAATACACGAATTGATTGCTAAAAGAAATCAACTAGCCAAAGATAATCGATATCTCGAACATTCATTAACCCTTGCATTAATAAAAATTCATTAATTCTACTCAGTGATAAAATTCTAAACTCGAAATTAATAAATTTATCATAACGATAAAACGACGCCAAGTAATCGGATAAGAAATTTAAATTTCATCTAAAGTAAAAAAGTATTGAGATTAAGGGTTGAAAG